ACTATTTCCAAGAGGACCCTAAACCCTAATTACTGAAGGGAAAACCAGATCGTAAACCAAAAGCGACCCCCAAAACCGAAATCCTAAGCCTCAACTCAAGCATCTCAAAAAATATCTCAAAGCCCATCGTTTAACACCCCTCCGGGAAGGCAATGGAAGCCTTGAAGATCAGCTCTGAGGGTCCCTCTAGCCTCAGTTGTTGGTTCCGAAGGGTTTGGGGCTTGCGTTTCGGGTGTGGGCTTAGGCTTCAGGGTGTAGGGTGCAGGGCTAAAGGGTTTAGTTTTAGGGTGTTGGTAAATCTCGTTGAGATTTAGAGTGGCTTGCCAAACGTGGAAGAACCAATCAGTCAAATGTGTACTTCGGACCGTCTTCTATCTCTTGAGGGACCAAAGGACCTTCATAAAGTATGGGACATAATGTCCTTCGGGTCAGTACCCGAGCCCAAAACAGGGGGGGGGTCTAGGAAATCCTACCCTAAACCCTAAACCGGTGTTTTTTTAATGGTTTTTAACGTTAAAGGCCCTAAACCCTGAACCGCTCCGAACATCTTCGAAGTCGACACGCTTGAGTCCTCCACCAAACATCCTGGGGCCCGGAAGGCTTACCAGAGACTCCAATTTAGGGTTTAGTTTAGAAGGGGCCCCCACCCTGTAATCGTGGTATAATAGGAATATAATGGGGCCCTAATATAATCCTTATAGTCACTATTACAGGGTGGGGGCAGCTTCTAAGGTTTAGGGTTCAGATGGGTTTAGGGTTTAGGGTTTGGGGCTTCGTTTAAGGAGTATTCTTAAATCATGTGAGGGATCCTACTAATTATACTCTAAGGTGTGTATATTCCTAGATGTAGGGGCCTTACTTAAAGGCTCATGGGACTTGTTCAGCCAAACAAAATGCAAACAACTCACGTGTCTGCTGCAAACTGTGAAGCTCTGGTTCTTTTCTGAGAGGCCCAGACCAGGGTGTCAGTTACGCCCATTAGCCCACCCGGGTTAGTGGAGGGCGTTTCGGCCTCGGCATATAGCCCGGCTGCCTCATTTTTGACCAACCTGAAACAGGTACCCGTCCCGTAGTCTTTTGGCTTGCGGCCGTACACGCACAACGGGTGGCCACCAACCGTGGATTGCGAATGTAATCACTGACACATGTTTTTTACGGCCTGTGCCTCCACAGCTAGCTCCCTCTTCCTGCAAGAGGGTATCCAAGTGGAGAAAGCCCGTTGCTGCGGCCCTAAATCCTAAACCCTAAACTCTGAATGGAAGCAACAAATCAGCTCGACGGTTCAAGCTTCCAAGACGCAGGGTATCCTCAGAAGGTTCCCGTCCTCATGTTTCACCAGAAGAAGAAACCATCGGTTTGGCCACAAGAGTTTTCTATTGCATTTCTTAAATATAGGTAGCGTGGCGTGACAGCATGCACACTATAATCAAGCAGCTTGAACATAGGATTCATGCTGTCTATCCACGTCACACCTATGTCCAAATGCAAGTGATTCAACCACTAAGGCTTAATGATTTCAAGAACCCCGCTTTCAATTCCTCACTAATTGTCTGATGTGACCCTAAACCCTAAACCTTAAACCCTGCACTTTGAACCCTACTTAACGGCTCATGGGACTTGGTAAGTAAGGTCATAAGTAGGCTATAAAAAAGGATACCCTCACTTAGGGGACGTGTAACCTCAATTATGATCTACTTACTTACTATCATCCGCTAACTAATAATTAGAATTGGGTTTTGGGCTCCTTTACACTATACTTCAAACAAGGAGCCCCCCGCACATAGTAGGTAATTATTTAGGTTTTGGAGCTCTGGGTCTCATGGTTGGGCATTTTCTAGCTGAAACTGTGGATTGCACCATTACGTCTTTTGGGATGCGTGTGTCATGTCGTTCTGGGTGTGCCTGTTCGAAAAGGATGCAAGGCGAATTTAGGTTGAAGATTAGTGCTAGGAGCTCTACTTTCATCCCTGCTTCAGCCCTAGACGCCACACCCTAAACTACTGTAAGCCCGAGCGAGCAGCAAATGCAGCGCGAAAGTCTGCGTGTAGACCATGACGCCCGTTAGCGCTTCGGCAGCATTTTCCTGCCTGGGTCCGGAACGCGAAGGGTCCATGTGCCCAAATAGTAGATACTTTGGCCTTAAAGTAGTCCCTACAGGTACTATGGCGCCAATGTATAATCTGTAGGGGTACATGGACCCTTAGGGGAAATCAATTCCAGGGTTCAGCAGAGGCGGCTTTGGGTCTTCGAATGCTTATGGTTTGAGGTTTAGTTTAATTAAATCATTACCTTAAGGACGAAATGAACCCCGAAAGGTTCTAAGGTTCGTATACCATATAGGGAAACATAGTATATGGGTATAGGGCCCCTACTTTTCAGGGTCATTTGGTCCTTCAGGTACTGCTTACAGTTCATAGCAAGCACGAGTCGGAGATGCAGCCGTGCAAATCGACACTCAAAACATCTACATCCAACGCCCAAACCCTCTAGCAAAGATCAAGGCAGTCTCTCACCATACTGCGCCAGGACGAAAGTTCGTCGCATCCGGTAGGTCTGCTAACACATACTCGCAAACCCCTTTCCCCCATAGACTCCTTCACGAAGTCGCGATGTTTGGCAAGGACGTCACTAATTCCTCCGTCGGAACAAAAAAACAGTGTATGTTCATTTTGGCATGGAAATTCCTCCGCTAGCCAGGCCACGTAAAATGCACTTCTTCGTACTCCGAGTCCTCCGCCAAGCAAACATCTTAGTGCGACAAAACTTTCATCCTGCTGATGTATACGTACTATACTCTAAACCCTAACAATGCAAAAGGGATGCTACTGCTTCCCGGCTTCACCCTTTCTAGGGGTAGAGGCTGAGGGTTTGGGGATTTTAGGGCAGAGATTGGGCAGAGGGTTTAGGGGCCTGCATAGCTACATATCACATGGCTACATACCTTGCGCTGCAACTTAAACCCTAAACCCTAAACCCAAAACCCTAAACCCCTAAACCCTAAACCCTAACTTTGCTGCTATAGGAAAATATCGGGGTTGTCAGGAAGGATGCTCAAACTTCTCATATGGGTGGTTGTCAAAATTAGGGTCCCTTTTTGGGGTCCTTATTATAATACGGCACCTAATATTTAGGGTACCCCAAAAAGGGGCCCTAATTTTGACAACCACCCATATACAACCCCAACTCCTCAAACCTGATCCTAAAGCCTAACGCTAAACCATATACGGTACAATGCCCTCGGGCTTTGTAGGGGTTTCCCAGAAAGAATCATATACAGTACTGGGACATGTAGCTACAATCCGGAATACCAACAGGTGACCAACCAGAAACCCAAACCCTAATCCTGAACCCTTACGCCCCAGCACTGTCAGTCATAAACCGAAGCCCTAGAAGATTATCCACTGATCGTCGTCACCGTTCTAGCTCTTGGGACTGCTATCTTCCATATCGAGGCCAAGGAAAACCTCAAGGCTGTCTACAGGATGTAGGGGCTTAGGATTTGTCATTTGGGTGTGGGATGTAAAGACATAAAGGAGGAGTGCTAGTACTCGCAATAGTTAAGACTTTTCGGATTTCGGGTCATAGGCGTCAGGCTTTGATTTCTGGTTGAACACCATCCGGGATTTGTGAACGTAATCTCCAGCCATTAAGATATTTCAGGACCAGAAGGAATATTCTGACAAACCCGAGGAACAAGACTTTTTGGCTTGCTGCCGTGTAGTGGCAGCATTCGAGGATGCTCCGTTCCTATATAGTTCTTGGTTGTGCTTCACCCCAAACCATTTCGAAGTCTCTAACCCTTTACTGTTTAGGGCCCATGGGGTACCCCTTTCGGGACCCTGAAAAGGAATTCGCAACCGAACCCCAAAAGAAACCCGTAAAAGGAGCCCTTCAAGGGTCAAAGGATTGCAAGAAACCCTGGAACAACGATCATTACCCAGACCCGCATAAGTAGGTAAAATAATGGCCCAAAACCAATAAAAGGCCATTATTCTACATACTGTTGGGGTCCAGGTATGCATGCCTCAAAGAGCCCTAAACCGGGCTCTCAGCCCTAGTGTGCTCAGGCTTTAAGGGTTTAGCGCTCAGGGGTTTAGGGTTTCAGCTTTAAGGTTTACCTTAACCCCATGTAACCCACCTTTTTAAGGACTTATACAAAGAAATCATATTAGGGAGCCCTAAAAAGGTAGGTTCCTTAGAGTCCAGGTAGGTAGGGTTTTAGGGTTTCGGGGTTTAGAGTGAAAAGCTTTGAGGTCGAGTGAAAAAGCTTTTTGATGCATCTCAAATCTGATGTCCGAGTTGCAGTAAGTTCCCAGATCTTCCAAACTCCCTAATTAGGGAAAAGAGCTTCATGAACCACATTGCCATGACCCTATTCTAGGGGCTTCAATAATTAGAATGGTGTTTTTGTGGGGGCCCATTATACCATAGTTATGGTAAGGAACCCCCAAAAAATAGTATAGGTAAATATTAAGGCACCTATATTAAACCCTAAACTATAGACGGCATTTGAGAAGATCTGGGCTCGTCCCACAGGTTCAAAGGCCAGGGAACGCTTGCGGCCACTTTAGGGCCCTAGGGCCTTTGATTAAGCCCTGCAAACCCTAAACCCCTAAACCCTGAACCCCAAACCTTCAACTCTAAACTGATTGTGTTGTTCCAAACTCTTGCGGTTGCTGAATTCATCTTTGTAGGGTGGACAGGGTGTCTATCAGTGCCTATAGTATGACGGACCCTGCACCCCAAACTGTAAAACAAATGCTGCATGATTGGGTTTACGGCTTGGGATACTTGGCCGCCTTGCTTCCGGCAGAAGCGGTAGAATCTCTAAAATTTCAAACAGTTGAAATCTGAATTGCATGCATCCTCCTGGGCTCTTGTCTGCCCTGTGTACGGTTCAGGGCTCTCGCATTTCGGATTTAGGATTCTGCGTCCGGTATGTTTCGTTTCAACTGAATAGTGCTCAAATCCCCTTAAGCCCTAAACCCTAACTAAAAGATCTATAAATGGCTCCTCAGCTCACGCTGCAAGGAGCTGCTGTCGCCCCCGCTCAGTGCGTCTCCCCAAGTCACCAGCGACCCATTCTCCAGAATAGCCGTGAAGGCTCTCCGGGATGCTTGAATGTGCCTGAGGGGTGAAGGGTTTAGGATCTAGGGTTTAGGGTTAGGATTTAGGGTTTAGGGATTTGGGGGTTCAGGGATTTAGGGATGCAGGGTTTAGGGATTTAGGGATTTAAGGTTTAGGGTTTGTGTGACTGACATTACGTAGCTGACGGTCATTCATAGTGGGTTTTTAGGGTACAGTTAGAGGGTTGAAGTTTTTACGGTTTAAGGGTTCAGGGTTTGGAAATTTAGGGGTTAGGGATTTCGGGTGTAGGGATTTAGGGTTGACGGATTTAGGGTTGAGGGATTTAGGGTTGAAGGGTTTAGGGATGTAGGGTTTAGGGAGATTTAAGGCTGGGTTCATGTGCCTGACATTGCGTAGCTCTTCTTGGACAGCTTTGCTATCACCACCCTGGGCGGGATTGCCCCAGGTTACGACAGTTCCATCACGGCGAATCGCAGCAAATGCGCCGTCCGACGCCACGACTTGCCGAACATGCTTGAGCTGGTCCTCAGTTGCTGAGATCATAAGCCCCCAAAAGGTACTGTATAAGCTTTCGGGTTTACAGGGTAAGCTCAGGGATATATTTTCCCAAAAAAGCGGTAAAGTGCACGTATTCAGTTTACGAGGGTCTTGTACCCAGTCGCTGTTGCTGCCATAATGGGGGTTGCCCCAGGTCACGACAGACCCATCACCGAGAACTGCAGCAAATGCCCCAAAGGACGCCTCGAGTTGCTGCACGTCCACCAGCTGATCTTTCACACTGCTGCTGTCACCACCTAGGTTTCTGAGTATCCACGCTATTCGGTTCAATAAAAGGAATCCCCAAAATGAAAAGGGCAAAAAGGTACTACTCCGGAACCTAGCCACCGTGGTCAGAATGCCCCCAAGTCACCACAGAGCCATTCACAAGAAGGGCGGCAAAGGCCCCGGGTGAGGCTTTGATGTTTCGCACGTTCTGCAGGCTGTGCTGCACAGCGCGGCTGTCGCCACCTGAAGGACCAAATCACCCTTAAAAGTAGGGGCCCTATACCCATATGCTATGAAACCCTAGATGGTATATGAACCTTAAACCCTTTTAGGGTTCATTTCGTCCTTAAGGTACCTTGCTTGGATTGGCCCCAAGTCACGACGCTTCCATCACTGCGGATAGCAGCAAAAGCACCGTTCGTCGCCTCAATTGTATGAACATTCCTGAGCGAGTCTTCGACAGCGCTGCTGTCCCCACCATGGAGAGGGTTGCCCCAGGTAACCACGGAGCCATCGTCGATAATTGCAGCAAAGGACATGTGTGCAGCATGGATCTCTTGAACATGCCGGAGCCTATGCTGGACGGCTCGGCTGTCGCCGCCGTGGCTGCCGTGGCCCCAAGTCACGACGGATCCATCCGCACAAATGGCAGCAAAGGCGCCACATGAAGCTATGATTCGCTCCACATTGCCTCAAAGGCCAAAAGAAACCCGTTTAAAGTTCATGAACCATAAAGGGATATATATATATATATAGTATGTGTATATGTATATATACACCACATATTTTTACTTGACCATTTATATTTATCTATTTGTATGAAGGTTTGGGGCCCGCTATTTATGAGGGTCGTCTGGTCTCCAAGGTCAAGGCGCCCAGCTGGTGCGCCACAGGGCCAATATTGCCTCCGAAACCCGAGTTCCCCCAAGCAACCACAGATCCGTTGCTAAGGATAGCAGCGAAGGCAGCAAAGGAAGCGGCGATGTGCTTCACATCCTGGGCTTTGTTGTAGCCAAGACGGATAAATTTCAATTTCAGAAAGGTTGCCTTAAGGACCCAGTATCCAAACAAGCACTAATGTATGGTGCTTCAAAACCCAGCATCTTTCAGCAGCTTGCCGACTGAGCTACAGTCGCCGCCATACTTCGAATCGCCCCATGTCACGACACGTCCGTCGCCGAGAACCTTAACGAGCAAAATCACCCTAAAAGGGCCTAAGGTTCCTTTATGTAGGGATACAAAGTAGAAAGGTACAGTGCCCCTACCTCTAGGGGTTATGTCGTCTCTCCAAGGAACAGCACAAAATGCATTGGTTGTGGCCGCGATGTGCACTTCCCTCAAATGCAGCGAGACGATATCACCCATCTTCACGCCTGCATCGAGAAGGTTTTCTTCGTCTCGTAGGAACTCCCCGGATGAGCTGACCAAGATGCCACGTCCAGTTTGCAAGGAATTTTGCGCTTGTCGCTTCAGTTCCCCAACCGTCCAATCGCACCTTGCTGTGATCCAAGTGCCTCTTCCACTCATGAGCACAGCGTTTACACAAACGAATGCCATGTGGACGTTCTACCACGCTGGGCCCTTCGTCCCTGCGTCTGCCTTTAAAACCATGTGCATGTAGACTTAGGGGTTTAGGGGTTTTAGGATTATTGGGCTTTATCGGCTGTCGGAGATACCGTTTAGAACTTCCTGTGCAAATGTTCTAGTTGCTTCCGGAAGGCCCTTAAACCCGAAATCCTAAAAACCTCAACCCTAAACCCTAAAAGCCTCAACCCCTACATCAAGCCCACGATCCCCTGGGCCTGGTGATGCTCTGGGCAGGCTCTTGGTAGGGTTTAGGGTTTAGGGGGAGGCATTGGGTTCAGGATGTACGGTTTCAAGCACAGGGGTTGGGGTTTTGGGGATTATATGGTTTGCACTTATCCCCCAAAATAAAGCGGCAAATCCGGAAACCCCAGATAAGCACTCACCAAAAGTCATAAGCAGCCTGAGATTGCCCAAATAGTCACGAAGACGGCAATTTGAACCCTATGATTCATATGGCAGTACTTACGCAGGGGCTCTGAAGTGGTGGGCTCCAGGAAACTTTGTTTGAGCCACGCCACTGGCAGAGCAACGGCGAGCACAAAAGTGAAGTCTGAAGTTAGATCAGAAATTCCGGGGGCTTTGTACGGGCAAACGGAGACAAACACAAACCACAAAACACAAGCCTCGAACAACACATGAAGACAAATCAAGACAGATGAGGACAGCACAAGACGAAAAAAGGGAAGGATCAGTTCTGGCATCTACGAGCTATAAAGCCCTTGATATTTAAGCCCATGATTCTCGACCGCTGCAAAACAAATATGAAAGGAGCAGTTGCATAGGAGTTATACCGATGTACTTTTGCAAATTATGATGACTCCCGTGATGCTGTTGACCACTGTCTTTTACCGTTCCTAGAATCTACTCAGTACCGCAGCAGCAACCATCGAAACGAACTTGCAAGAGGTGCACATCTTTTTCTTGGCTATGACATTGCCCAGAGGAATGAGTAGGAGTTACCACCGCAACGGCAACATTTCGACGACTCCCTGCGAGCCTCTGCCAACGCTGAATCAAAACACCGAACCCACCATGGACGCTGTTGAAACCCTACTTAAAGGCTCATGGGACTTAATAAGTAAGGCTATAAGTAGGTTATAATTAACGATAACCCGACTTAGGGGACTTTTTGTCCCAATCATAACCTACTTACTAAGTCCCATGATCCTGTCAGTACCCTAACCCCCCCCCCTTCTAGAACCCTTATAGATCCCTTAAAGGAACCCTCAGCGCCTCAGTTATAGCCTTCTAAGTCGAGGTCAACCCTAAACCCTAAACCCTTGTCCTTTTGGAACAATAGACAGAGCCCTTTCCCCATATCCCTTAGTAGGAATTATTTAAGAAGCTCTAATAGCCGGTCTGTTTATTCTTTGAGGGGGACCATGAAAAAGGACAAGCCTGGTAACCCTAAACCCTAAACCCCAGGCCCTGAACACGTTGACCAGGAGCCCCCACTTCTTTCGCCAGTCGGCAAACTCCTATAAGCGGTCTAGGGGCTTATAGTCAGGTTGGGCAATATAGGGGCCTTAATAAATAGAATAGTGCAGTATCCCTTTAAAGGGTTCCTTAAAGGGGTCTATAAGGGATCTATGGTAGGGCTCTATGATATAGGGGCCTTAATGTTTAGACTATGGTTTCGGAACCCATTATACTGTAGTTATAATAAGGACCCCCCCCCCCACAGTATAGGTGGTTATTTAGGCTTCTATGTTACAGGCTAAGGGTCTCATGGCTTAGTGATTACAGTAGGGGCGTAGGGGCTTATGGCTTAGGGCTTAGGTAGGGGACTGCAGCTCTGCCATGCTTGTCTTTGCTGTCGCATGTTTTGTGTTCTTGAAAGAAAATTTTGTGGTGTTAGTACTAAGTTTAGGGTTTAGGGTTTAAGGGTTTTTGGTGTTAGTACTAACCACCGCTGTTAGACTGTTTTTAAGCTCGGATACTACTTGCTACTAATTAACTAGTTTCTACTACTAGAAGCACTCTTGCTCGGCATCACTCGTCTTGCTTGGTTAGCCAGGTCAAGCTAACATGCGCACATGTCGAACCTGATCGCAAGTAGCTTTCAAGATTGCACTTTACGACTCTGAAAATCAAGTTTCTGGGGTTGCCACCCTCCTCGGTTCAATTTTCCATCACAGTATAATCAGTGATGTTTATGACGTTGTAATGCGTGGTACAGAACATTTCGTTGTTTGCTTGTTGAGTCGTGTACCGTTGCACTGCCTATGGTGCATCACCGAAGGTAGGTATAACCCCTTTAACCCACACCTGACTGAACCCGTATACCACCAACACATGTATCAGATTCCCTAGCGTCCGCTTCCTCCGACATTCAGCTCGAGACCTATAGTATCGGGGGCACTCATATAGAGGCCCCATATACTTTACTATAATGTTAAAAAGGAACCACCAAAATAGTCTAGGTAATCATTTTAGCCCCTGTAGTACCACTTGCTAAACCCTACAGAACCTTCTGCAATAGTAAAACCCGAAGCGGCTGCTCTGAGAATGAAGGGGTCTACGCTAGGGTCTGGCGCTGTTCTGATACTTGGAGCCTGATTCCAGGGGCTCTCTAAATTATTACCAAACCTTATAGACGACCCTTCCACACTAAACCCTAAACCACTCATACCCCCAATTTAGGGTTTAGGGTTTACCCTAGACCCTAAATCCTGAACTTAAACCCTAAACCCGGAACCCTGGACCGACCTACCACACAGGTCCGGAGGAACCCTGAACCCTCAACCCGATACACTAACCCTTATCCCCCAGGCCACAATTTTTTGGGTTTTGGGGTTTTGGGATTCTAAACCCTCGGCGCTATTCCCTCACCCTTCTCCACCAATCCCCGAACCCCGAGCCCGACCTGGTCGATGGCTTTCTGCACCTTGCGATCGTCCGAGGCGTTGAAGGCGAAGAGCAAACGGGAGATATAGGGCTTTGCCTCCATGGTTTAGGGTTTAGGGTTTAGGGTTTGTCCTACAAGTTAAACTTTTAGCCTCCTTATTATAGTTCATATAGAAACCCAAAAGTTAAAGTCTAAAGAGCCAACCAGAAGAACGCCAAGGTTTAGGGTTCCCGTAAGGGTTCCTTTCATGGATCTACAGGGGGTTCAGGGTTTAGGGGTTGAGGGGTCTAGGGGTCTACTTGGAGGATCATGGGCCTTAGTAACTAGGTTATAATTGGAGTTATAAGTCCCCTAAGTGGGGTTATCCTAGTTTTAAGCTACTTATAACGTTGTCACTAAGTCCCATGAGCCTTTAAGCAAGGTTCGGGTGTTTAAGTAGGGGTTTACTGGGGTTTATAGGGGTTTACGGTTGAGGGTTTAGGGTAGGGTTTAGGGTTCTGCGATGGTTTAGGGATTTGCCTCCAGGGTTCAGGGGTTTATAGGGGTTAATAGGGTTCAATAAGGGTTTAGGATTAAGGGGTTTAGAGTTTTGGGGCTTACGGGTTTAGGTGTTTGGGGTCGGCTGGAGCTGCACAGGGTCTGGAGCGTAGGGCAGGGTTTCGGGTTTTGTGATGTACGGTTCAGAGATTAAGGTTCGCATGGCCCTATCATGGCCCCCATAAGAGTGTCTTTAAATACTCGGTAGGGGTGCAACTAAGCATAGGGTTTTGCCCTTGAGGAAGTAAGAGTGTTCTTCTTCTTAGGCAGCAGAACTTTTGGGGTTTAGGGTTGGGTTCGGCGCTTAGACTTAGACTAAAGAAGGACAAGGGTATTGGGTGTAGTGTTCTTTTTGAAACTTGGGATTACTTGGGATTGAGGGCCAGGGTTGAGAAGTTTAGGGTGCAGGGCGTCCGGATTTCATGGTTTGTAAGGCTCAATGTTGCCTTGCTTATCGCCTGTTGGGGCCCTACCCTCGGATGCCCAGTAACCTGGATTCCTTAAAGGGTTCCTTAAAGGATTCCTTAAAGGGTTCCTTAAAGGGTTCCTTAAATGGTTCTTTAAAGGGTTCCTTAAACTAGGATACCCAGTAACCTACGAATAAAAAAGGCTCCCTTTTTGAAATTGGGTAACTTAATAACGAACCCAGGACGACACAAAGGGAATAAGGGTACTACTGGGCATCCTACTTAGAGGATCATGGGACTTAGTAAGTAGATTATAACTGGGGTTATAAGTCCCCTAAGTGGGGTTACCCTAATTATAACCTACTTATAACCTTACTTACTAAGTCCCATGAGCCTTCAAGTAGTACCGCAGTGTAGAGTTTCAGGGCTTGGGGCTTTGTCAGGGGACTGTAAGGTTCAAGGCCTAGAGCCTCTAAGAGGCTCAGACTGGCTACATTCATCTGAACCATTAGGGTTTAGGGGGAGGGGGGGGGAGGGGGCTGTAATGCTCATACTGAGGACCTAAGAAAGCCGATTGAAGGAAGTATAGTCCCCTACCCCCTCTAAGGGTCCCTATGATACATCAAGATCGCTCAAGACTTGCACAAGACGGACTCTCCGTTTTCGGAGCCAGACTCTGGCGAAGAGTGTGCCACTGGACGTAGATGCGGAGCACGATGAAGTGATGCTTTCTTGCTACTCTGCAGTCTAGCACGTTGAGGCCGAAGATGTTTTCCATCTCCCCACCGTTCCCTCACGTACGCCACTAAGGTCTGGCTGTCCAAGTCGTAGACGTAGCCCAGCTCTATGGTCGTGCCGAGTCCGCCCTGCATGGCCCCTGAGCCGGTTTGGTGTCTCGCGACAAAGCTCGCAAGCGAGCCCCGAAAGAAAGCGCAATGCGGCGGCCATGCTAGATCTTGCACTCCTGCAAATCGTGCAACGGAAGTCAAGTCTTGCAGTGGGCCCTAAACCCAAACCGCTAAGCATTAGTTAAATGCTCAGGACGATGAACCCGAAAATCCAAAGTTTGAGACCTATAGTATAGGAATAGGGGCCTTATATAATGATTAGAATTGGGTTTGGGGGTCCATTCTACTATAGTGATAAGAAGGAACCCCCAAAATAGATAGGTGACTATT